CGGGATCTGTTGAACAATGGTGTATCTGAAATACACACTTTTCGTAGATAAGATGACTAACGTGTTCACAAATGTATTCACAATAACTGTGAATATGTGTGTATTTGAGATACCGCGAGCGAACTGCACACAACGCTGCTGGAACACCTGAGGCGCATTTCACGATGAGGTATAATGCTCTACTGTGAGATTCAGCGGTGGTGACGCAGCTGTTAGGTACGGTGCATTTAAGGTGGCCAGATTATTGAATGAGCTCTTGCAAATAGCGGCACCTGTGGTTGGGAGCTCTCAAAATATGGTAAGCCAAAAATGAGATTTCCGCACAATCGCCGATATTGTCCGCTGAAGACCCCAAGCACTCGAATCCTTCGTGCATAAGGCAAATTATACAGACTCTTGACGTCTCTGGTTGCATGTCGTGGAGATATCTCCACCACGGGGATATCTGTCCTCATCCATGGCGCCGAAACTGTACTACGTATTCCACAGGTGGTGGTATGTATGAGCCGAGAAAGTTTGGAAAAATCGAAGGGTCGATTCGTCCGAGTGCATGGTTCAGGAGGCCCACGTGTTGGACGCCCCTCCTTTGGGCCGCCTCAGTCTGGTTCGAACATCCAAAGTCAACCTTGATAAAACACCCACATCCTTCTTCCCAGAAGACATTTGCAGCTTTGGTTGCCGATTTTGTGAGAATGAACCAACTTGGGCCTCTGACGCAGCACTATATATTTTTCCAAACTGAATCGAAGTAGATTCTGGACAACGCAGTTTAGCGATTAAAAACTGAAAGCAATACTTGTGGTGAAATGCAGTTCTGAAGAAAAGAGTGTCGTGTATCCTTGCGAACAACTTCACGACATGCTACTGCAGCGCCCAGACCTATGCCCATGAAATCATGGATTACAACATGGCGAAATCATGCCGACCGTTGGCTATTGTCACCATAGCAATAAACTTGCTTTTTTCGCAAACCAGCGCCATAATGTTCTGGGATCCCAGTATTAATCCACGAACTTCTTAAGTGAGTAAACGACGAAAATTTTGGTTGTACTTTATTCTAACCACACGTTTTACTGTTCTAAAGCAGCTATGTTTGTAGGTATATTTAGTCGTGGCTTCACTTGTATGCCTCCTTCTAGCGGGAATATGCCATTTATTTATTTATTTAAAACTTCAGTAGCGTAGCCCTTGTACTGACTAATAAAGCAAGTGCTTGTTATAATTGCATTGAAGCAAGAAATGTAGATATGTACCTTTTCAACATATTGTACGATTAACATATGCAGAAACAAATGTGGTAGGTTAAATGTCTCGGTTTGCCGTGCAAGAAATCTGGAAGCGTCTCGGTTTGGCTCATCAATAAGCTAGCCACCTTAAATGCACCGTACCTAACAGCTGCGTCACCACCGCTGAATCTCACAGTAGAGCATTACACGTCATCGTGAAATGCGCCTCAGGTGTTCCAGCAGCGTTATGTGCAGTTCGCTCGCGGTATCTCAAATACACACATATTCACAGTTATTGTGAATACATTTGTGAACACGTTAGTCATCTTATCTACGAAAAGTGTGTATTTCAGATACACCATTGTTCAACAGATCCCGAGTATTATTATTTGGTTAGGGCCGTCGAAAAGGAAAAGGCAGTTCCTTCTACCTATAATATTCTTATCGTCCCAATCCATTCCGCTGTATATCTTCAATATGATTTCAGCATATTGTGAAACGTGGCTTTCACTACCGGTTTCGGATGTCCACTATCCAGGAATTATCTTACTGTCTACTTCTTTCTCTGTGCACATGCCCTAATCTGTGAAACACAGAGATCGGATTTGTAGTACTGTGTCCCATCTGTGTCCGTCGGTTGACGATATATCGGTTCGGAAGCTAATCATTCTTGCAAACTGAGCAGTCAAGGAATGGCGATGTGCTACTCTATGGTGGGCGATTTCCGATTCCTCACAAACTAGCTTTTCTTATCTACTTTCGTGTTCAAAATGTGCCATTCACTTGACACCAACAACATTTCGCCATTTACTGGAATTTGCCAGTACTATGTACAACATAGTGGACATTGGCGATCTAATGATACCATCATGTTCTCCAATGCCTACTTCAGACTGAAACCCGAGCTAGAACGACATACCGCGCATTGTCACTGTCGGTTGTCTCAACCAACTTAATTTTCGGTCAATCCCTAGGTTAATCTCTTCAGTCAAACGGTGTTTCACCCTACCCAGTGCAATCGATACTGTCTCATTGTAGAGTAGATTTCATGTCTGGTCGTCTGCGCGTAACAGTGAGCACGCGGATGGCCGCCCACTTCTGCGTTGTGTGTCTTGATGCCGCATAAGTGAGTGGGTGGAAGTTACAGTACTTCCTCAACCGTCCATAGATGCCGCGTGCTAGTCCGCACCCATCCTACAGCGAATGAGCTTACGAGTTGTTTTCGCGTCCACTGCATCACGTGATTTTTGGCTGTACGCTGCATTAACCGATGCAGACGATCTGAGTACACTTGTACTAATTTGCAATTGGTCAAGACGATGGATTCAGCTTGATGTTGTTACGAATTGGGTAGAATATTCTTATGGTGGAGCTTGATTTCCTTAAGGAATGACTTGCTTCTGAAAAGGTATAGATGGTTGGACGCGAAGGAAACGCCGGAAAATTGTGCTGCAAATCAATGTCGGATTGCATTAAAACTAGTGACCATGCATTCAACCTTGCTTGCCGTGATGCAAAAGCTTAAATACTCAACTTGCGCTAATATGCGTTTACGTACCGATGGTCAAACATCCAACTTTTTAGTGCATGTAGCTGTGTTTATTATAACTCGCGCAAAGCTAATGCAATATAAGTAAATACAGATGCAATCATTCAGCATAAGTTATATACATAAGCATCTTCTGTGGTCATTTAATAAAAATACCTGCCGTCCACTTATAGCCCCCTACTGGATTACTAATTAGCCTCTTTAAATGACCGCCTGTACCAGGAGCCCGGAGAGCGATTCGATAAGATAGATCGAGTAACAGGGAAACTTTTATTGGTACAGTAGAAGATTCCCTGTTAACTAGCTATAAAGAAACGATACCGTGGACGCTCTAACTTTGGAAACGGAGCATGCACAGCACACAGGGCAGTCGCGAGTTTCAACCGAAACGAGTGCCAGGCAAAAATGGCGCTGAGCAAGTCAAGCATTCGAACGCAGCAATCAGTACAGCAAACCACACTGATTGCATAGGTGTACAGTTAAATAATTTTATCAGTGTTTTACACAGGCAAACCGGGGATCTCTAGACTGCTACATAGCCATCCACTAGATGGGAATTGGTAAGTAGTCCTTCGATCTACTAGAGTTCTGTCCGTTGCGGACCAGCCTTCTGCGTGACCAGGAGGTGAAACCTGATGCAGCTGCTACGGCAGAACTACGCAATCCGACCCTAGCGGGCTCCCACCCGTTTCTTCCCTACGGTGTGGAAACGGTAAAATAATTTGTGGGGGGACAGTTAGAAAAGTTCACGTATATTTGAAAAGGAAGTTGGTTCTTCTTCCATTTGAAATGCTGGATCCAGCGAAATGTGAAACCGAGGTACAAACAACCTGCGACGTATATGGAAAGCAAAATGAAAAAAACCAGCATAAATGCGTAGCAATACACAAATTACTGCAAAGCGAAAAATGTGCAGAGCTGTTTTCAAGTTTTCAAATGTGTTGCTCTTTATTGGTACGTTCAAAACGTTTTGCTCTTTTCTGGTGGATTTTTAAAAACTTTTGTTAAGAGCAAATAATGTCAAAGGCACGTTCTATGTAAAATAGTAAGCGCGAACAAAGTCCGAAAAATGAACTGGAGGTTTGAGCTTCCTACCGCGTTGATTGATAGTAGGGCGAGTAGGATTGTTGTCAGTTCTGCTGGAGCGAACTGACTCGTCTGAGATTGCGATGCTTGCCGTGATAGCGCAGGTTGTGAAGATGCTTGTTTTGCACCGAAGAGACAAACTTTTCGAGGAGACCGGGCTTGAGTCGATCGACGTTGATCGTCGCAGTCTTACCATTGTAGGGAATGGTAAACATCTTGTCGCTTCTGTGTACGAAACGGTTCGGACCAGAATAAGTAGTTTGAAGTAGCGGGCGTATGCTGCCAGTGCGAACAAAGATGTGCGTGCAAGTAGTAAGTGTTCGACCACATTGGTACGCAAGCTCTGTGCGCTGGGTTGCACAGTCTGAAGCTGTCGCATATGATGAGATAGTCGAGCTGCGTAGTCGCCCTAGTCAAAGGTTGCTGGCGCTTATGGTGAGACGGGTTCACCAGGTCAGCGTTGTGTGCATCCAAATACTAGCGACGATGGAGTGGCGTGCAAATCCGCCTTAAGCTTGTATATTATGCCTAAGAGAACGAGCGGAAGTGTTTCGAGCCAGGGTGTGCTAGATTGGGCAGAGAGGAATGCTTTGAGTTGCTAGCGGAACTATTCTTCCATCACATTAGCTGCGGGATTGTATGCGGTGGTTCGGTTATGTTGGCAACTATAAACTTCGAGCAGTTTGCTGAAGAATGCGTCAAACTGCGATCCTATGTCAGAGCTGACTACGCTTGGACAAACCCAATTGAGCGATCCAGCATTCTAGGGAAGCTTGCGCAACTGCCTCGGATGAGCAGTTGACTATCAGATTATTCCCTGGCCAACGGATGAATCAGTCGACACAAGTGAGGAGGTACATGTAGCCTTTGCATGGTGGCAAAGGTACGACCAGCTTGGCATGGAAGTGTGCAAAACGAGAGTCGGGAGCGGGAAAGACGCCAAATGGGCTATTAATGTGTCTGTATAACTTGGCGCGCTGACACTCTAATTATGCGCTTGCCCAAAGGCGGACATCCCTATTGACGTTGGGCCATACCATGCGTTCGACTACGAGCTTCTGCGAAGCACGTATGCCCGGATGAAACAGGTTGTGTAAAGCGTTGAAAACTAGTAGACGCATCAAAGTAGGAACTACGTGTCAGGGAGAAGTTTGTGAAACGTCACAAAGCATGGTCTTCTTAAATGAAGTTAGTGGAACTTCGCCTAGTTTCAACGAGGTGTTGTGTCGCAGCTTGTCTATGTCTTGATCAGATTGTTGGGTTTCAGCCATAGCGGCTAGGTCAAGGTTGGTGCAAGGCGATAAGTTAATCTGCTGAATAAGTGAAAGCGCATCCGCGACGGGATTAACAACACCTGAGACATGTCGTACGTCTGTCGCAAACTGATAAATGTAGTCACGGTGTCTAATTTCCCACGGAGAAAACCCGATTGTTGTGTCATTGATTGCGTAGATCAAAGGCCTGTAGTCAGTGAAGACTGTAAAATGTCTACCTTCGAGATAGTGACAGAAAAGTTTGATACCTAGGTAGATAGCTAACACTTCCCTACCGAATGTGCCGTAACGTGATTCGGCAGGTTTCAAACGTTTCGAGAAGAAAACTAGAAGTATCCATCGATGGTCGTTGAGTTGTTGAAGAACTGCACCGACAGCAGTGTCGGATGCGTCAGTTGTCAGGGAGATTGGTGCAAATGTGTCTGGAATGGCGAGGGGCGCTATGTTGGAGATAGTGTATTTGACCTTCTCAAAACACATTTTGGCGTCGTCTGCGAAACGAAAAGACCGTCGTTTACCGCGGAGCAAATCAGTCATTGGTTGAACAATGCACGCGCATTTAGGAATAAAGCGCATATAATAGCTGACCAAACCAAGGAATCGGTGTAACTGTTTGAAGGAACTGGCAGCAGAATATTCCTTCTGTGCCTGGATATTTTCTGGCGGAGCATCGATACCAGAGGCGGAAATGCAGGGGCCAAGAAAGTCGATAGAGCTTTGGCCGAGCCCGTATTTATCAGGGTTGACAGTAACCCCATGCTGTGTTAAGCTTTGTAGGTGAGCGTCTAGGTGATGAAGATGATCCTCGTCAGAAGACTTGGCGATGAGTATACCATCTAAATAAGGATAAACGAATTTGAGTCCTCGGGTTGCCTCATGAATGAAACGCTGAAAATTTTGGGCAGCGTTGCTGAGGCCGAAAGACATTCTAAGTTACTCGAATAGGCCAAATGGCTTGATGAATGCTGTTTTAGCAATATCGACTGGCGCGACAGGCCTCTGATGGTAGGCGCGAACTAGGTAGACTTTGCTTAAGATAGACTTACCAGCTGGAGATAGGGTCAAGTCCTGAATGTGTGGAATGGGATATTCATCCTGGACGGTAAGTTTCGTAAGTACCCTGTAGTCACCACAGGGGCGCCAGTCACCTGATGTCTTTGGTACCATATGTAATGGGAACGCCCATGGACTTTTGGAGGGGTGCATTATTCTCAGTTCGAGCATTTGTTTGAATTCCGCCTTGGCGGCTTTCAACTTGTCCCGGGGCTAGTCTGCAAGGACGGGCCGAAATAGGTGGTTCCTTAGTGAAACTGTGATGCTTGACGTTCGACGTCACAGGTGGCAAGTCGTTTACAACGCGAACGAGTTTAGGATGCTTGTTAAATGTTCTATAAAAGGTTGTGGAGCCAGAGGTAGGACACGAATGGAAGTGCTAGCTGCCACGTTGGAGCTAGCCCCAATAACACTGAGCTGTGTCCTAGAGTCGATAAGCTCTTTCCGTTTAGCTTCTAGGATGAGATCGATGCGTTGAAGAAAGTGTGTGCTTATGAGGGCGAAAGGCACGGCAACTATTATAAAAGGACAGCGAAGAGATCGCCGAATGCCTAAATTAAGCGTTAACATCTTTTCGCCGAAATCTGCAATTGATGTGCTATTAGCCGCACGCAGCTGGGTGGTGATGGTAAGACGACCTCTTCTGGGCTGCAGTTTAAAACGCTAACGTCGGCTCCAGTGTCGACTAGAAACCCGGTGGTGGAAGTTAAATCCCTAACGCAGATGAGGCGACTTTAGTGTTGGCCGTTCGCGTCCTTCGCTGTTACGGACCGGTCGAGAAGTCTCCCTACTTCTCGACGAAGTTGCAAGATTTGACGCATGTACGAGCTGCGGTCCCAAAGCGCCGTTGGTACCAGCAGCTAGATTGCAGGTTGCTAGCCTTATAACGTTTGAAGAGCGATTTTTAGCGGCTATGACGAGGACGGTTTACAGTAAGCTGCTGAACCAGTTGACTAAGTGTAGCAAGTTGTGATTGCAGGGCTTCTATAATTGAATGTAAGCCAGTGATAGAAGTGCCCTGGGACGCGACGGCATTGATCTTGATGGCTGTGATCGCTTAATAATTCGATCCGCTAAATCTGCTAGTTGACTGAGCGAAACGGAGCTCACTGTAGTGAGAACCGTTTGCGTGTCTTCCGGTAGCCGCCGTAGCCATAGTTCGCGAAGTAACGTCTCGTCCATGGTTGATGGACTAAGCGGTGGCTGCATCTATCGTAGCAGAATCGAGAGCAGTTCGTCGCTCAGCTGCAGATCCCTAAATAGCTGCTGCAGACGCATTACCTCAGAGGGCCTCCTTCAGAGCCTCGAAGTGGCTTTGTATCTGAGAAATGATAACTTCATGGATCTGCATTGATATATCTTTGGGGAGATAGGACAGGAGCTTGCTATACTTCGCGTAGTCGGAAGTGATTCTGTGGTCATAAAACTCAGCCTCAAGTAGAGCGAACCAAAAAACAGGGCCCATGTCACAAAATGGTAGCAAACAGAGAAGTACAACGCTTAGCCGGGACTCGGCCTTAGGGTCTACATATTCCGTAACTTAAAAATGACGCAAAATACAGGCTACCGTATGCAAAAACAAACCGCAAAATAGGAAATATAATTGGAACGAGCTTAACGGAGAAAAGTTGAAATATTCGGCGCTGAGATTGCTCCGGAGTTGGAGTCACCACTTTAGAGGGTCGCCTGTATCGAGAGCTCAGAGATTGATTCGAAAAGACAGATCGAGTTGCAGGGAAACTTTTTTGGTACAGTAGAAGATTCCCTGTTATCTAGCTATAAAGAAACGATACCGTGGACGCTCTAACTTTGGAAACGGAGCATGCACAGCACACAGGGCAGTCGCGAGTTTCAACCGAAACGAGTGCCAAGCAAAAATGGCGCTGAGCAAGTCAAGCATTCGAACGCAGCAATCAGTAAAGCAAAAACACCGATTGCCTAGGTGTACAATGAAATAAGTTAATTAGTATTTTACACAGACATACCGGGGAATATTTAGACTGCTAAAACTCCCATTGTGATGAGAGGAGATGGTCGGTATTTTAATATGGAACGCAATATTAATTTAATGAATTAAGTAACACTTGGGTTTTATGCGTTTCGTTGCTGTCGATACATCGTCGAAAGCACATGTACGTGGTCTCTTTAACAGCGAATACTTTATAAAATCATAGGACACGTCTGCAGAAATATGGTACCAATGGATTATCATCCTATTCAAACATATCGACAGCGATTACACTCACTGAAGCGTGCTTTTGGCCACACGCAGAGGAGCAAAATGAAATGAAGTTAAATGGTTTTCTACGTACAGGGATGTTGTGAACTTATGGTTTAATTCCTTATAGACGCCGTTGGATGCATAAAATCTTTATGTTCGACCGTCCTTTCTGTCGGCGCCAGTGAACGTTAGATCGCCATGAGTGACAAATAATTCGTCACCGTGGTAGTAGGTGCTTACATGTCTGGAATCGATTTCCGCGTGACGTTGACGGAATATGCATCCCGTTCGCGCGAGCAGCGAAAACGTGTGCTTTAGCTTGAGTGTTGTGACACCCAAAATGACCAAATCTTTGGCCCTCGGATGTCTAAATGTACACCTTATGGACGACATTTTGGTCACTCAATATATTTTCCAACGTCCCCCAAAATAAAGAAATTAAATCTTCAAAGTTAAGCGATCGTAATCATGAAGCGGAAATCTGCGTACTGTTTGTAACTACGCAATGCCATAGCCCTAAAACAAAGCATTAAACGATTTTGAATGATCAAACTTCGTCTAAACGGAACTCGTATCTGATAACTTGTAGTCAGGCAGTATGCTTTATCTGGTGCTAACACACTATATATCGTGAGTGTGCTACTGACGGAGCCTATATACTACGAACAACATCCCCGAAGTAAAATGCTACTACAACCCACCTAGGGTTAATTAGATGGGCACTAAATGTGCCACTGATGGAGCCTATATACTACCAGCGCGAGCATTAGAACGTCGTGCTATTACAGCCTGGGTCCTATTACATTGGCACCAAATTTGTCGCTGATGGAACCGCTATCATTAGGTGATGATCCTTGGAGCAGTGTGCTATTACAACCCACCTGGGACCTATTACCTTTGCACCAAATTTGCCACTGTTAGTCCTTGAGCTATGTGCTATTAAAACACAACTGGGTCACATTACCTTGGCACCCAAAGTGCTGCTAGTGTAGTGAACTGTCAGAAATGCTTTAATCCCGAAGGAGCACAGATACCGCGATAACAACTGCGCTTTGTATTTATCAGGAAGCAGCAAGCAATGGTTCAGCATTGTGCACTATATCCGTGCCTTGGATGCGCATGTCCCATGCAGGGTATCATACACTAAGTCGTATTCATGGGCTAAAATATGAAAGTAGTGTAGACGTGTAGCCTACTGTCAGGTAATTGATTGAGTGATTTAATCTGAGCAAGTGTTTCATTCACAGCTTTTTCTTTACTGTGCTTGCGTCTATGTTGACGCTACAATAAATTGAAAAAGGGAGTGTAAATTGCACAAAATAGCTTACTCTGGTACCGCGTTCTGCACAATACGGCTCCTTGCGAGGAACTCGACGGCTCCTTTTGGACATCTTATCGATGAACAGTAAGGAAAGTTTCATTAGTACCAAGTGAAGGTGCTATAAACTTGGGTACGGTATTTGACGTGCATTTGGATCGGCGGTAATCTCAACTTGACTGTCTGTGCAGGAAATCGTTTTACTAAGCTGATGCTTACCTTCGTAAGCGGGGCTTGTTGATGGGTTAGAGGCAAATGTGAAATCCAGTGAAAGTACGATCTAGAAGCACGGGCATTGGCTAAATATTGAAGGGAAACTTTTCTTTCTTACTGGTTGCACAGCTATGCACTGCCATCATGGGCACAGAGGACGTTTGTGAAGCGTTGACGCAAGTCGTACAACGGGCACCTGATTTCACACGCAAAAAAGTTTGATGAAAATTTACCGATTATGTGCAGCGCGAACTGCGTCAACTATAACAGGCTTGCCGCATATGAAACACAAATCTGCGGACGCCATAGTTTTCGGCCAACGCAGCTGTTGCTTTGCGCGTTGAAAGTCGTATGTATTACCAGTTACTTCGTTGGTCCTTCGCAGAAGCTCTAGGTACAATTCTGAAATTCCGGATGGATTAACCTGTTCAGATCTTTTCAGGCGATGTGCAAGACGTGCGATTTTAGACTTAGTTTTAATTTGTCCCGTATGGTACTTGTCCCTGTTCAAAGATGTTGGCGCACTTGTTTAGATAAGCTCACAAGGAAGGCGCTGTGTGCAGCCAAAGACAAACAAAGTAGTGCCATGTAGAATTGCTTTGATTAAGTGCTTTTTGTACACGATAACAAGCGGATGTGACTTGTGTCTTGATGTGTGTGATTGTGCACTATATGAGGCATTAAGTTACCGGTGGAACCTCTCCTGTATCCCCGTAGTTGAAAGGTGTTATCAGGTGCTTGTTTGTGCCGACAACCAGGTACGTTGAGAAGCCTGCTAAATGGTCCGTCAAAGTGGTATCCTATGTCGGGCAGGTCTACGCTGAGACAAACAACCTGAGTTATCTAGCTTCCTAGAAAACATTATGTTACTGTCTCAGCTGAGCAGTAAACAATCAGAGTAGCTTCTAGCCAATGTGTACATCTGTCGAGAAAGTGAGGAGAAACACATGGCATTTGATTTGGATAAAGTTCGTACAAGGTCGAATTGAACATGCGCGAAGGAAGGGTAAAGAGTTGGCAAGACGAGGAATGGGCTTTCAATTCGCCGAAACACTTTAGTAAGTTTATAATCTCTGCACACGCAAACCCAATTGCAGACATCGCGGTCGAACATTTATCACAAGAAACGATCGTTTCTACGCATCTGGGTAGGTCGCATGCCGAATAAGACAATTAGTCTAGGGAACTAAATTTTAGTTTGCGCCTACCACATTTCTTGTAATCCGGTCTCCGTTCTTCCCCCACAATGCCCATTATTAGACGTTCTTATGAAGTTCCCGGTTTAATTGAAAGCAGCCGTAATCCTAACGGAGTCGAACCAAATACATTTATCCTGCTGCACCACAGACTGGAATCTTGTAC